GTTTCTATTTGAGAGTGTGATTTAGTTTGTTTCAACCTACTTTTTAAAAAATATGTAATTATCTTAATAGTTTTGGTTATTGTTGACATTCTACTGTTTTGTTATTTATATTTCTGCACTTTGCTTGTGTTCAGAGCTGCCTAGACTTATGCAAAGGGATGTAGTGGCTCAGTGGCTAAGATGCTGAGCTTGTCGATCAGAAAGGTCGGCAGTTCGGTGGTTCAAATCCCTAGCACCATGTAACAGAATGAACTCCCGCTACTTGTTCCAGCTTCTGCCAATCTAGCAATTCAAAAGCCTGTAAAAAGTAGAAAAATAGGAACTACCTTTGGTAGGAAGGTAACAGCTCTCCATGTGCCTTTGTCATTTAGTCATGCTGGCCACATGACCACAGAGACATCTTCGGAGAGCGCTGGCTCTTTGGCTTTGAAATAGAGATGAGTACCGCCCTCTAGAGTCAGGAACGACTAATACATATGTGCGAGGGGAACCTTTACTTGACCTTAATTTTGTCTGCAAAACATGGTTAAACTTACAGAAGGGATAGATAGTTTGGTTTAAAATGGACAAAAGAATAGTAGCCCTTAGTTTGCTATCAAAATTCATTTTTCACTTAGTGGGTCTAAAGGAGAAGGAAGGATAAACAACAACAACAATGATAAAACTGCTGCTGCTGAATTATATCAGAAGTGAAACTTAATCTAATTTCTCCATTGAGGGGGAAGAAAATGCTTTCAAGGTTCATTACCAGGGCAGGGAGCTGAAAATATTCAGTAGGTGGTCCGATTCTCTCCTCTATTTCCTTGGCTACGGTTTGCAGGGACAAAATATTTCTTTCAATCCTTTTCTGTACATTCATTATGCACTTTGTAATCAGCTTCAAGCTAAGATAAGTTTCAACTAAACCTTAAAGTGAAAGCCAATTTAGATATTCGGGTAATTCAGTCCAACTAATTAACCCAGACCTGCTTTTCAGATCAGCTTATTCAGACTGAATGCTTATGTTTAGGAAGCCAAAAAGATAAAAAAAAGATAAGTAGGTCAATGTATTTAGGATGGCCCTTTATTTTCTTTAATATCCCTGCTGAACAGGGTGCAGCATGATTACGATTAAATGCAGTTATTCCATTTGGGCCGTAATTGACTGATTGAAGCAATCTGTACTTTGATCCTGTCCACTAAGTAATGGATGATCAGAAGCTACCACGTTAAAACACTGTGTTTCCACACTTGAAACATGAGAAATTGCTTAAAGATTCTTTGTGGCGAAGTGATAAAAACTATGGGCTGGATTCAGCAATTTACTGAATTATCAGCATATCTACCAGTCTTTGGACTATGTAGTCCAAATGTAAATTTCATTGAATGCTACTTACAGAGCATACATTCCTATTCTTTTAGAGATAATTTTCTGGTGGATAATGTTCATTTTTTTCAATCACATGTTCCTTGGGATGGATTTTCCATGTGCCAAAATGGAGATCCTTTATACTAGAGAGGGATTTTCTGCTTACCAAATTGTCTGAGAATCCAATTTAAATTTCTCAAAAGACCCTTTTCTAAGAAAACTTCTGCCACTGTGGCGATGGTATACTTTTTGCTACAGTCTTTTCTTAAAGTACTTTTGTTAAAATCTATACCCAAGGAAGTAAACGTAAAACTAAAATTTCCAGCTTGACAGCCAGTCACCAGTCCAAATACAAACATAGAAAGTTGAAAAATAGAANTTTTTTTTTTAATTTGCCTCTTCAAAACCTTACTGTGTCATACTCCAGTGCGTCTTATAATCTGAAAAATATGGTAATAATTAAAGTGACCCAATGGGAGTAACAGAGACTGAGAGAACTCTGGGCATCCCTAAAATAATCCCGCCCTAAAACGCCTTACCTTTGAAAAGATACGGGTAGTTTTTCCCATCGGAGCCCAGAAAGAGGAGCTTCTTTGGTTTGGTTTTGGTTGGCAGGATGGTGATGGTGCTTCCTACGCTGTGTATGGTGACCGTGTCTCTGGCAGACACTTCTCCGGGGAGGGCTATCTCCGTGTTGGTCATGGCAGCCAGCCAGGGGCTGATCTCCTCGAGGCGCAAAATGTAGCTGGCCCGCTTCTGGGCTCTCTGTTGAAGGTTGAGCATCACCTGTTTTTTAAACACGGGCAGGTTAAGAAAAGGTCTGTTATGAACAGGGGGTTGGACTAGAAGACCTCCAAGGTCCCTTTCCTTACTCTGTTATTATTTTGTACATGGTTTTTTTAATTATTTTTATTGTCAGCATCTGATGTTTGTTTGCTTGTTGTTTTTTCCTTTCCCAATTTTATATTTTAACTTTGGAGAGAAATAAGTTATTAAAAAGAAACTATTCCACTTAATGTAATTTACATTCTACAAAGGAACCATTTAAAAAAAATTGTCTCATTATATAGGGAAGTTTCACTCATTCTGAGGCTTTTTATCTTGGGGCCTATGGATTTCAGTAATCTCCATTCCAGGTCCCTCTCCTTGGGAATAATTCACTTGGAGAGGGATGCCACACCAAACTTTGCAAACCAAGAGTGAACTCTTTGATACCCTGTTGCCGTGATGACATACCTATGGCATGCATGCCCCAGGTGGCACGCTCTCTGCGGGCATGCCAGCCATTACCCCAGCCCAACTCCACCGCGCATGCATGCACGCACGCCTCCCGCTGGCCAGCTGGTCTTCGGGTCCCTGCCGCGCATGCACGGGGCCTTCCCAGATCTCCCCAGTTTCTCCCCCTCCTCAGTGCATCCAAGCTTTCTCCTGCATTTCTGCTGCCCGTGCCTTCCCCGTTCCCCACAGGTTCCACCCTCCGCAAGTGCCTCTCCATGGCAGGAATGCAGGAAAAAGCTAGGATGTGCTGGGGGGAGGGGAAACTGTGGAGATCAAGAGCCCACCCCCCCCCTCTGCGCCCCATTTTGGCCCTGAAAAGCCTCCTGCATCAACGTGGAAGCCAAAACGGGGGCCAGGGGCGCGAGGCACATATGCAGGGGAAGGGTGCATGCACAGGGAGTGCTCACATTGCATTTTGGGAATTGGGACACATTTGTGTGCATTCCCGCGCTCGTGGGCGCACCCTGGTCACTTGGCGCCAAAAAGGTTAACCATCACTGCTCTATTGTATCCCCACCCAATTTATCTAATGCAGGCGTCCCCGGTCGTAGCACAAAACAAGCGAAGCCCCATCCGCGGGATGCAGGCAGCACGCAAAACCACAATCCCTCCGGGTCTACGGAAAAACCACTCTCCACAGAACTGGCCCCTGGTGCCTGAAAGGTTGGGGACCGTTGATCTAATGCACACCTAGTGAAGTTGTTTCTACTTCAATTAAATAAGCTGGGGGTGGGGGGGTGGAAGACCCCTACCTCTTTGAAAGGGATCCAGCTGCTTCCGGGCTTTGCGGGATTGGAAGGGTTCTTCAGCTTTTCCAAGGCGTTTTCAATGGCGTCCCCGTAATTATCCTGAAACCACTTCTCGTGGGGCGTCTCGGTGGGTGCGGCGGTGATGCTTTGTACATGTTCCAGAGCAAAGACGATGGGTTTCATTAAGGCAGTGTGCTTTTCACGCATGATGGCTATTTTTTCCTCTCTTTAAAGGAAGAGGGGAGAAACAAAGAGCAATTAGGGGAAAACTGTCCTTTGGTCTGAAGGACATTGGTCTAACTATCGGCACTATCCCCCCCCTAAAAATTGTGCAGAAGTAGAGCATCCTAAACTACAGAAGAGCTAAACAAATAATTCCCTCAACACTGTCAAGCCATTCACTAAGGCTGCATTACTATTACTATTAGTCTTCTCATCATTCCTCTTACCCATCTCCTCCCACTTATGACTNCAACCGGTTCTCCTGAATAGGTGCGAACTGGCTGAATCCCACCATTGGACACAACATACATCCAAAGTCTTTCATGTGTTACCTGGGTCACTCTCCACCATTCGTCAGGTGTGGCACATGACGACCAAAGCTCTTTAGCTAGAAGACTCGGGGGTGTGGCTTCCATTAATTCTTCCAAAACGGACTTCATGACATTCAGGGGCCAGTCTCGACGGGAGACATCCAGACTAAGTCCAACTGCTTTCAAGGCTGGTCCAATTTTGCTGTAGTAGAGTTCGCTGGGTCTGGGTACGATCCCTGGGTTCTGTGGGGCCTGGTAGGAATCCTGCGCATAAAAACACTGCCTGTTAAATGTGCTTTGCCCAGCTCACCTCAAGCCAAAGAATGTTATTGGAAACAATTGTGCCGCTACACATTAACGTTACACATTATCAGCTACTCGATAATTAATGATGGATATAATAAAACTTAAGGAATGACCCTTTTACTATTGCCATTTCAAACCATATTATTCTGGATGGGACAAGAAAATACAACACGTCTAAATTAAAAATTATGTGACTTGCCTGTCAGCTGATGCATCTTGTATCCACTTTATTATATAATGGAGAAACAATACCATATTGATTACTAAGTTTAAGGCAGGTCCCCAACCCCCAGTCCATGTCCTGGCACTGGTCAGTGGCATGCCAGCAACTGGGCCACGCAAACAAGTGAAGCCCCATCCACGGGATGCAGGCAGCAAAACCACGCCCCCTCTAGTCCGCAGAAAAACCGTTCTCCATAGAACTGGTCCCTGGTGCCCAAAAGGTTGGGAGCTGCTGCTCTAAGCTAAGGAGAGTGAGGAACAATAATAATGTATATTGCTTATTGACTGCCCAACTTCTTTCCAAGATCCAATGGTGTATTAAAGACCTTTCTTTCAACAGTTACCTGCTACTGTGATGCTCAAACCCAACAGGACAGAAGGCAAAGCTCTCCCTGCCTTGAGGCCATCCTTACCTAATTAATACCCTCCAGGAAGTACCAGGCTATGTATTATGAGGGTTACAACCCAATACCATCCAGATACGATTTCCCAGCGTCCCCCAGCCAGCAGGGATTAAGGGAGTTGCAAAAAGAGCTGGAGGGCATCAGTTTGAAGAATGGCTGCTCTCTGAGCTTAGGTTCCCCCGCCCCCCCCCCCCCCGGATTTAAATAGGCTCTCCTGAAGTCTCCAGCTTTAGATCAGGGGTGTCACACTTGATTTCAACGAGGGCTGCAGCAGGGTTGTTTGACCTCAGGGCGGGGTGTGTGTGTGTGTGTAGGCAGCTCAACGTCACTGTGGTGGCCCAAGCGCTCTGCCAGCGAAAACAGGCTCCCAAGCTCCGTTTTCAGCTGCAACGGCCTCCTTGCAACCCTCTGCCGGGGAAAATGGAGCCCTCCCAAGCTCTGTTTTTGCTGGCAAAGGCACCGCGGGGCAGTCCTTCCTTCACTGTTTCAGGGCAACCCCGCGGGCCGGATCTAAGCACCCCACGGGCCAGATTGGGCCCCCGGACCTTGAGTTTGACACCCTGCTTTATATGGTGGAGAAATTAGGGTGTTCAATAAAAAGAAACTGGCACACGAGTTAAAAACCACCACCAGCCAAAAAAAAAAAAAAAAAACCAGGGAAAGAAACCATCTGATCCGAGTTTGAAGCGATCCCATCTAAGTGCAATTATTTATGGAATGCGGATGCCAAACAACGCACGGTCTTTCGAAAGAGGGAGCCCCCTGCGTTGTGTTTACCTTCTGGGCTTGCAAGGCCGCCTCCCGCTGCTGCCACCTCTTGTAGAGCCCAAACAAAGGCGTGGCTCCATCCACCCACTGAATCAGGCCCGACCTGGTTCCCAGGGGAGTCACCGAGTAATGCCTGGCATGGAAACGCGGCGTCTCTTGGCGATTGATGGTAGCAAACATGGTGTTGACGATTGACAGGAACTGCATGATCCGTTCGTCCAGATGCAAGTCTTCCAGGCCTGTGCGGAAAAGCAGAGGAGGGGAGGGGGTTAGGTGGGACGTGCCTTCCTTGGTCTCAGCACACAGGCTCCCTTTGGGGCTTGGGGCTTGCGTACAGGGAGTGCTCGATTTACAATCACAACTGAGGCCCCAAATTTCTGTTGTAAAGCAAGACAGTTAAATTTTGCCTCATTTTACTGCCATTCTTACTGTTAAGTGAATCACGGCAGTTGTTAAGTTAATCAAGGGGCTCCGGCATTAAGTCTGCCAACTTACCATATTTTTCAGAGTATAAGACGCACCTTTTTCCTTCAAAAAAGAGGCTGAAAATCTGGGTGCGTCTTATACTCTGAAAAATATGG